AATGGAGTGGATTAGCTTTAAGTTGTGTGGCAGCAGTCATAGATGTACATGGTGGTTGTGTCTGATATTTGTTTCATTGGTGTTGTAGTTTTGGATAGACCAAGATGGTGGTAATGTGCAAATGATGGTTTAGAGAGGTCATGTTGTCAATGTTGGTGGCAATGGCAACAACATAATGTTGTAGTACACGTGTTACACATTGTAATGGTTGTGGAGGGTAGTGGCTAAAGCTGTGTAATGAAGTTGACGATGGTGGTAGCGCACAACAATATAATGCTATGTGTTACAAGTGTTACGCATTGTATGATAATGTTGCTGGTGGTGGTGGTGCGGCAAAGCAATAACAATGACATAACATAATTTGTTACAAAATGCTAAAAAAGGCATAACATTTTATGAGGAAATGTAACAAAAATGTTAAATAGTATTTTTTGTATTTCTGGTGTAGGTTAAGAAATAGCGGCCATATTCTTGATATGAAGGAGGAAAAAAAAATCACTAATGGGCCGACATTTGATGTAGGTTAAGAAACAGAGGCCCATGTTCTTGATATGAAGAAAAGATGTAGACCCATTAGGTTTGTCAGATAGAGTCTATAAATAGCATCATTTCTCTCGCTCTTTCGATGAAACCCTATTCATTCTCTTTTTTCCTCGTGAAAGTCCTATACACATTCTTAATTGCTTCTTTGATAGCCGTCACGACAATTTAGAAAAAGAAGATTATGGTCTAGCCTTGTCGGGTGTTCACGTGCACATAATCAATCCAACGAAGTTTTTGAAACTTACAAAGAATTTCATGTTTTTCCTTCAAAATGTAATCTCATTTATACTTTCCATCGAAGTTAATTCATTGTTTCCACACTTGAAAACCATATGCGATTTCTTGCTCAAGTTTCTTGTTGTGAGAATTGGTATCGTTTGATTTATATGATCCACGAATTTCACTGACTTTTGAACAACTAGGTCCACATACTTATTTTTAATCACATTCACACAATAAAATATTATACATGTAAATTCAAAATATTTTCGTATTTTTTAACTACACATCCTCAAATCTCTCTCTCTCTCTCTCTCTCTCTTATTTTCAACCACACAATCTTCTATAAAATAATATTATACGTAAATTGAAAATTTTTCCATCTTTTTCAACCACTCATTTTTAAAAAAAAACAATATTCCACTCATTTTCATTTTCAAGAAATGGGGGCCTAACGGGGGCTAGAAATATTCTAACCTTGCAAGTGTCACTTAGGGAAAAAAAAATGAATTTAATTTCCTACTTAAATTTCAAAAGTGAAAGGCAAGTTTTATGTTTGATTTTATCTCAGATATAAATTATATTTCTGAAAAATTAATATAATTTGATAATTTCCAATCAAAAGCCAAAATTATGTGAAGTGTCGAACTCCAACGTCTATTTGCAATCATGTCTGGCGTTATATTTAGACTAATCCACCAAGGAAATTGGAATGTATGTTATAAATACAAAGTTCAAATTAACGAAAGTCAACAATATTTAATTTAGTTAATGAAAACGACAAATACCAGATCTTTGCAAAACGTGTGTCTAAATTGTACTTAAATGCATAAAATATTCTTTAACTTCTCACCATGTGGTTAAAATTATGTTAGATTTTAATCTTAATATTTTATAAATTATCTAAGTTTTCTCAAAACTTTATTTTGCCAAATATATATGATTGTCAAACATGGGCTTAATATGGCAAATCAATTAATGTCATTTAAATCTCATTGACAATAAGAAATATAGATGAATAACATTATTCTTACTTTTTTATTGTAGAGGTATAAAAGGTTGAACTAAATAGAAACAAGTTCTTTGTTTCGTCTTCCCTATGTGTACAATCACCTCGACCCTTCCATCTGCTAAAGTATATATCAAATTTATAAGATATAAAACATTAACTAACATATAAGAGTTTAAACTTTAAAATACTTCTTCTAATGAGGTTAATCAAGTATTAACCCATGTGTTGAGCCACACTTCAGGGAAAAAAATGTATTATTCTTGTCAAATCAATGGGAAATGTGTGGTTAAAAAATAAGGAAAAGTTTTAGATTTACGTGAAATATTATTTTATTGAAAAATGTGTGGCTAAAACGATATCAAATCACTTTGAAGAATTTTTATTTTTTATTTTTTAAATAATGTGACCCAAATAAGCTTTTAATATATAATTAAAGCCCAACAAGCTCAAAATGAACGATCTGTCTTAAACCCAAATGGGCATTTCATTTTCAAAATAAGTGATGCTACATGTACGCTTTTCGTGTACATAATGCTTTACATTCACCTCATATGGAGGGGGGCTCGCACGTAATTTATGATGCGTGGGCCTCACTCCATGTGAGGGGTATAACCCATTATGTATACGAAAAGTATACAAGTATACTAATCATTTTAAAATTTGTGTGCTCAAACTACACACCATGTTGCAGGGACATATCAAGGGTAAAATCTTATGTTGACTAGATATAAAAATCTCTATATATAAGGATTTGAATTGCTCTTTTTAATAAGATAGAACTTTTAGATGAAGAAACATTGTCTTAGCTTCCTCTAAAAACTCTTCAAATTAAAAAATGCATTTTTATGAAATAAATCGAACGGATCAAAATTATCTTTTAGATATCAAAATCTTCTTTTGACTTGCCAAAAGTCACACTATTGTTTGGCCCCTATTATAATGAGAATTTGGGAAAAATAAGTCTAGAAGTAGTAATTTTTTGAACAACGTGTTTTGAAATTACGTGTAATATTATTTTATATAAAAATGTATAATTGATAAGAAAAAAGAGAAAAATGAATTATAATTTTAATATGGATAAACCTCTCAGCTTACATGCTCAGTAACCGCCCTAGTGATTTTTACTCTAATCTTAGACGTCCCTATAGAATGATTTTTTGATGTTGACTCTTTAGCTATTCATATCACATGTAAGAAATAAAGAGGTTGGTACATGGTACCCATCAAGTCCACTTTTGGAATGGTGAAATTAAAGTTGAAAAGGATCTGTCACGTTATTTTAATTTAATAAAAGTAAAATGTTAAAGTATTCCAAAAATAAATAAATTGGTACTAGCCAAACGAAATATAACGAATGGATGCTCGTAAAACTTTTCTTATTTGTTCACTCTTCGCAAAGAGGCATTTTCAGAAGGATAGATGTTTTATTGTCTCTCAAGAAAGCAAATTCCTTTGCTGAGTAAATGAAAAAGAGAATCTCAGGTTGGAAAAGAAAATTGTTATCACTGAAGCTTATTAAACGTGTTCTAATCTTTCTATGCATATGTTCTAGTTTTTCCTTAATTAGCTGGGACTTAGCTACAAATGAGGAGATAAGACTTTACATTAGGGTTGGACATGGTTCGAACTAAACCAAACCCAAAAATTTCGGATATTTAGTAAAAGGAAAGATCAGGTCCAAATTTAATTATGAAGTCGTTCGGGTTCGATTCCATTCCATTCAATTCAATTCGATTCGATTCTCAGGTTTCGTATTATTACTAAACTTTTTCATATTTACAAAGTTACATTAATTCAACTAATGATATGTTCAATCTTAACTCTTACAAAATAATGTAGTTCAATTTTATGTGTCTTTTGTGTTTCTCTTTACTGAGTTCTTCATAGATTTGATTGTTAAAATCATAAAAAGAGAAAGATAGTAAACTCATAATAATTAAGAGATGTGTTGTCAAACTTCAATTCTATTTCTCCAGCCCGGTAAAAACACCACTACAATAGAGTAACATATTTGGATAAAACTTAGGTCAATTTGATTAAGTTGGTTTTGAACTGAAAATTAGAAATAGAAAAATCATATTTTTGGGTTTGAGCCAAATTTACTAGTTAACAAATTTATTTAAAAAATTATAATTTGACTTATTTAAAATAAATTAATTAAAAAATTAGAGAAATTTGATTCTTATTTAGCTCTTAGATTCTTAATCTAGAACCGAGAATCGAACCAAACACGTTGATTCTTGATTCAGATACCTATTCAGGTATTTAACTTAAAAAGAACCGATCGGTTCGATTCGATTCGAAAGTTTTGTCCAGCCCTACTTAAAACTATATTCTATGTGATGCTTTCTCTATAGCAAGTACGGTGAAGGAGCTCTTGCTTCTATTTGAATAATGGCCTCATCGACTCAAGCAATTTCATAAATAGAAGGAATCTCTCTTTCAGGATCAATCATGTCCATAGATGTAGTAGTTAATGAACGGAAAATTCAAAGAAGCTAGGCACCTTTACTAAATGTTTATAAAAGAAAACTTTTTCATCCTAATCCCATCTACTAAGAAAGGGGGGCCTAGTACCCCCTTTTTTTTTTTCTTTTTTTTCGTTTGTTTGATATACATAGGCTATTATATTACAGACACATCATTAAAGACTTATTGAAGTGCAAAATCATAGAATGTAATCATTGCAGAAGAAAGTTATAATAGTTGGGAACCGAAACATGATTAAGTCTTTAAGCATGTAGATGAGTGTTTTCTGTCAACCCCAATCCTTTAATTCTCCAATTACCATTGGATTGAAGGTAGCAACGCTTTCAAGATTGGCTAGAGGGAAACTAGGAGGGCTGAACTCCATAGGTAGTTATGACGATACTTGGTAATATAGATATCATTATGGGAGAAGTTGATTGTTGAAATGATAATTGATAAGACAACAGAACTACAAGCCATCCATTCATTTTCCGAATTGGAATTCTTAAAAGAAGTCTATGGGATCATATGGGTGCTTGTCCCTATTTTGACTCTTGTATTAGGAATTACAATAGGTGTACTAGTAATTGTTTGGTTAGAAAGAGAAATATATGCAGGGATACAACAACGTATTGGACCTGAATACGCCGGCCCCTTGGGAATTCTTCAAGCTCTAGCAGATGGGGCAAAACTACTTTTCAAATAGAATCTTTTTCCATCTAGAAGGGATACTCGTTTATTCAGTATCGGACCATCCATGGCAGTCCTATCCATTTTACTAAGTTATTCAGTAATTCCTTTTGGTTATCGCCTTATTCTAGCTAATCTTAGTATTAGTATTTTTTTATGGATCGCTGTTTCAAGCCTTGCTCCCGTTGGACTTCTTATGTCGGGATATGGATCAAATAATAAATATTCCTTTTTAGGTGGTTTAAGAGCTGCTGCTCAATCAATTAGTTATGAAATATCATTAACTCTATGTGTATTATCAATATCTCTACGTGTGATTTGGTGAGACATCAAATTTCCCCTATTTCTTTTCTTTCTAGTAAGAAAGTTAAATGAGTTGAATATATATATTTTCTTTTTTTTTTATTCAGAATTCGGGTTGATGAACTAAACCAGATAGTTATATGAGTGAAATAAAACGGCTTTTGAATTTGCAATTAAAGGGATTGAATCTCATTTCCTATGTACAAGAATAAAATGAAAGTAAATATAAGCAAAGCAGTCGAGATTGTTTACCCCCAAATTGGTTGATTAGGCATCATGGCTTGAAACGGGTTCAAAAGATTAACTGTATGGAGTTTTTAATATCTATTAACATAGATGTATTACCATAATGGAAGGTTAACAAAAACGAGTGGATGGTTAGTATCAAGAGAGATATGGGCAACTCCTTCCAAAGGTGAATGAATCGATGTTTGGGAGAATCCACTTTCTTAGCAAGTGCATTAGCCGATACAGACTCAACAATGGGATTAGAAGTTAGAGGCAAGTAGTGACTCAACATTAAGGGCTTTTGCAATAATGTCATGAGTATGAAGTGCCCGCTAACATTTTATACATATTTACAACAAGTTTGAACCTTAGTTTTAGCAAAAAAAAAATGCATTTTGAAATAGTAAATTGATGAAAAATGTGTAATTAAAAAATAAGAAAAAAATTTTATATTTATGTTTAATATCATTTTATTGAAAAATGTGTAGTTAAGAAGATAGAAAAACATGATTTTTAAAAATAATGGAGATTCTTTGAATAATATTTAATATATTTATTCTTTATTTTAATGTTTTAATAAGCAATTATGATTCAACTTTTCTCTCACCCTTTTATCTAATGATGAGATAAGGTGAAAACATATTCCTCCATCCTATAAAAATACGTTTACTTTTCTTTTTTATTTGTCTAAAATTAAAGGCCACTTTCTTTGTGGAGGATATATTTAATTTTTAATTTTATAATACGTCAGCAAATATGAACTTCTTCTATTTATATCATTATTTAATGTTTGGTATATTAAAAAAAATGTAAGAAAAATTTAAGGTTCGTTTGATTTGTGTTTTAGTTTTGAGTTTTGAGTTTATTTTCAATCTTTTGTTTTGACTCTTTTGAGTGTGTTTTAATATTGCTAAAAACGTGTTTGGTTTGTCATTTCAAAAAATTATTTCTCAAAAACAGAAAATTAGAAAGCACATTTAGTTTGAAACTTTGAAAAAATAATTCATGACACTTTATTGCATGAAATTTAGTTATTTAATGAAAATAGAATAATTTTATGCTAACATATAATCAAGTAATAAATGCACTTTAAAATTGTTGAATCTTAAAATATTTTTTTCTCAATACAAAAGTAAAATAAAAATAAATAATGAATTAAGTTCAACACATAGGAAATAAAAAAATAAAAATTAAAGATATGAACTGAGAATATTTTTATTTGTATTCTTTTAAATATTTTATTAAATTTTTTATGTAGTCATTCAGAGTTTGAAATATTTTTTATTTTTATAATTTTTATTTTTCTAGAGTTTTTTTTATAATTTTTTTTTTGAATTTTAGAAATATTT